CTAAGAAGCTGAAATTTTCCAGCACGGAAATAGAAACCGATGAAAAATATTTGAGTGTTCTTTGTAGTTTTATGACAGTCACTAGAAAAGTTTGTAATACATGTATTTTTTTGATAAGTGATCTTGAGGGAAAATGACAAATAGTACCGTACAAACAAAATGCCAAATGACACCCAGTTATAGCCATAAAACTGACTTATGTGAAAGGAAGCTTAATGTGAAGTCAGGACCTAAGGTGACAAAAAGGATGGTAGAGATACCCTTCATCTAATTTGGGGATGAAGTGTGGGGACACTAGAAATGAATTAGGAACACAAGGATCATGATGGGACCAGGAGGAATACTTTACTTCTGGTAATGAATGGCTTGGAAAACACACTTGCTTATAGTTTGTTTTTTTTTTGTTGTTGTTGTTTTGTTTGTTTTTTGGGACAGGGTTTCTCTGTGTAGCCTTGGCTATCCTGGACTCACTTTGTAGACCAGGCTGGCCTTGAACCCACAGTGATCTGCCTGCCTCTGCCTCCCTGAGTGCTGGGATTAAAGGCGTGCATGACCACATCAGCTCTAAAAAATTTTACTTATTTGTGTGTGTGTGTGTGTGTGCGCACATGTATGTGCCCATGGATGCTGGAAGAAGGCACTGGATTCCCTGTAGCTGAAATTACAGGCCATTGTAAACTGCCTAATATGGGAGCTGGGAACAAGAACTCCAGACCTTTAGAAGAGCAGCAAATTCTCTTAATTGCTGAGCCTTCTCTCCAGACACTAGAGGGTTTATTTTTGACAAATAATACATATATCTACCTATGTTAGGCAGTACATATGGCTTTATGAATAATCAACTCTGAAGTCTAAACTTGTACAGGTATTTGTTATTTCCTCCCCTTGATGAGGGGATATCACTATGTCGCTCATAACGTCCTACAAGTACTGACCCTTTTGCCTCGGCTTCCCTAGTGGTGGGGCGATGGATGCATGTTATCACACCCAGCCTTCGTGGCCACTCCAGGGTGTATTATTGTGTGAGTTTTCCCACTTTACCCCCCTTTTGCTAGATCAATCATATCAGTTTTCCCAGCTCTAGGAAAATTTCCAAAATATTTGGCCTTATAGCAATCTAATGCATCAATTTTATCCTGGAGATTGTCCAAGCTGATTGGTCTTAATCTTCTTCCTTCAATGATCGAGGTTGCAGTTATGGGTCCTAACTTTGAGCATAGTGCCTACGCATCTAGACTTTCTGCTGCTCCAGGCAGCAACTAAGGTTCCATCAGAACAACACCATTGCAAGTCTAATTGTTTCTAGGTAGTTTTCAGAAACTGCAGAAGACTAAGGACAAGCTCTCACACAGCACGTCAGTTCATCTTTCTTACCAACTATCTTCTTCTCCCTCTTCTGCGTTTGTCAATGTCACCCTCGAAGCAGGTATCACTCTCCATCTCTTTTATGTGTAGCCAGACACCAAGTATTCTTCCTATCTTGGAAATACGTTATTTCTAATGTCTTACAGTTTTTTGAGAAAGAATGTAATTAATACATAGGAGTCATAAACGAAGAGACACCAGAGGGCATGGCACCAGTACTTTGCCAAAGGGACCCAATAATAAAATATTCTTTAAGTTCATTTAAAAAGATTTTAGATTTATTTATTGTATGCATGTGGGTGTTTTGCCACATGCATGCCTGGTGCCTGAGGAGTCAATTAAAGGCAACAGATGCCCTGGAACTGGAGTGACAGATTGTTCTGGGCTACAATGAGGGTGCTGGCTGTTGAACTCAGGTTCACTAAAAGCACTTTATCCTCTAGCCCAGGTTAGTGCATCTGTCCCTCTCTCTTTTTGCATGCTAACTTTTTTATATTATCATTTATTACAATTTATTTACTTTGGATCCTGGCTGTGGCCCCCTCCCTCATCTCCTCCCAATCTCACCCTCCCTCCCTCTTCTTCCCTTATGTCCCTCCCCCAATGGGACTGTCTGGCATGGACTCAGTGGTAGGCCCTCTGATCACATCCCCTGTGAGAGTACAGTCTCTCTGAACCCTCATCACTATCCAGACAAGGTTTCTGTGTCTTGTCCAGACCTTTTTCTCTCGTGTATCTAAACTCAATCATATTCCCCAAATGTGTCATCATTAAACTGTCTTACCACTTACAAATATGTGCAAAAAAAAAAAAGTTTAATTTTGCCTGTCTTTGAACTTTGTAAAAATTATGTCTTCTGTGATTTTGCCTTTTAGTACTATTGCTTACAAAAAAAAAATAATGTTTGTGTTTATATGTGTGTGTGTTGCTGTGATCTATTAATCTCATTGAAGAATATATTGTTGAATATCCTACAGTTATTTTAATATTAATGGTGATTTTTCTTCTTTTTATGTCTTTGCTTTTATGAACTATGCTACTATAGATATTCTATTGTCCCCATTTACAAAAATTCCTTCAAAATATAGTCCTGAGAATGAAAAGACTTATTGAGAGTTATGCACATCTAAAGACCTAGAAATCTACCACCATGGAAGCTTCCTGAAACACACGTACATATGTGTGTGTGCTTGCGTGTGTGTTTGTGTTTAAATGGAGTGACTGTGTAATGGAGGGACAATGTCTCCCTCAGACGCTATAGACTATCAGATAAACCTATTTCCAGGTATGGGTATGGGTTGCCTCTTTTTGACTTTTTGGTCAGTAAAATCCAATTGATTCCTGAAGCATTACAGGCTCTTGCCGATGGGTAGCCTCTAGAATTAATAGTAAGATCCTTATTGCTGAAGACACCGTATACCTGAGTCATAGGACATGGAGAAATCATGTTGGCACCAGCCTCAGACTTTATCCTTACTGGCTAGCTTTCATAGTGCTTGAAGGAGCTATGCAAGCTAGCTACTTGGGAGAAAAATAACCAACGGTCTTATCCATTTGTGAACCCTGTGGGTTATAGTAAGGACTGGCCTGGAAGGATATTCACTGGTACAATGGTAGCATAATGTTATAGGCGTAATCAACCACTTTCTGATTATTCTAAAGTCTACCACAGAAGGCAGCATTTTTTTTAAAAGATTTGTTTGTTTATCATGTATGCAATGTTGTGTCTGCATGTAGCTCTGCATGCCTGAACAGGGCACCAGCTCTTATTACAGATGGTTGTAAGCCACCATGTCATTGCTAGGAAATGAATTCATAACCTCTGGATGAGCAGCCAGTGCTCTTAACCTCTGAGCCATCTCTCCAACCCAAAACTTTTTTTTTCAAACATTTATTTATTTTATGTATATGAGTGCTCTATCTGCACATACACCTGCATGCCAGAAGAGGACATCAGATCACAATATAGATGGTTGTGAGCCACCATGTGGTTGCTGGGAGTTGAACTCAGGACCTCTGGAAGAGCGGTTAAGTGCTCTTAATCACTGAGCTATCGCTCCATCCCAGGATTTTTATATTTATTTGTTTGTTCGTTTGTTTGTTTGTTTGGTTTGGTTTTTCGAGACAGGGTTTCTCTGTGTAGCCTTGGCTGTCCTGGATTCCCTTTGTAGACCAGGCTAGTCTTTTGAGATTCATCTGCCTCTGCCCCCCTGAGTGCTGTGAAAAAAGGCGTGTACCACTACAATTGGCCCAAGAACTCATTCTTGATAGTATTAATTGGGTGAAAAACATGGGGCTGGCTATACCATGGGCCCTCTGGGGGATCCTAGTATTCATTTACTAAATGAACAAAGTAATAAACTGGCCCTTAAGTTTTCATTTTTAGTCCCATGGATTAGTTCATTTCATTAACCCTCATCAGAGAAGCTTCTTTTTACAGCAGAGGGTGATTAATACGGAGACATACAGCCACTCAATGTGCAGAGAAAAAGAAAATGTACAGTGCTCAACCCTAAATGGGATGGTTACACACAAAGCCTGGGATCCTCATGGGAAGGGTGGGAGGAAAGATTGTAAAAGCCAGAGGCATCCGCAGTGAAACAGTGTTTGCCAGGCCTGACAATGAGTCTCATTGCACATAGGATCTCACAGCAGGCGGAAGGGAGTGCTCAAGACCTGTGTAACATCAAGCCAGCCAGAATCCCAGTCTGGTTTCTAGAGGACAAAGGAGCGCAGCCCCTTAACCATGCTTAACCAGTAGATTACCTGACACCCACGTACAACAAATGAAATTCAGTGGATTTTAAGAAACAGTGTGACACGGAGTTGGAGGAGGAATAGTAATGGGGGGAGGGGTTAAAGGAGAAATTGCAGGAGAGAGGTGGGGATGAATTTGATCAAAATGTATTACAGGATATAAAAAAGAAAGATTACATGCTTGCTATGACTTACGTTACCGGCCAATTATGGCCTAATTATACCAACTTACAACATTCCTAGTCCTATGTAAAAGTGCTGAAGCCTCAGAAGTTGGCTACATGTGTGAACTTGGCCACGGGTCGTCCAGGTGTTTGGTAAACACGTCTGGGTGAGTCTGTGAGTTTGATTTTGAATGAGTTTGATTTGTGTCTGAAATGGCAGGCTGGATAAAGCCGACTGCCTTACTGTTCTTCCAGCCGTCAGGTAGGGATCATCCAATCCTCACAGGGCCTGGGAGAACAAAACAAAGTTAAACTGTGCCTTGACACCGAGGGGAGGTCAGGCTTGAGTTTCTTAGTGTTAATAATTTAAACGGTGATTAGCTGGAGTTTAGAACCTATCGGAAAGGCTTAGAGCTTTTAACAGGTCTCTAGCCCTGAGAGAATTTTCCTGTGCACACAGGCGTGTCCCGCTGAGGGAGAAGATAGCTGGGGGTTGGTGACTACCCACTGTCAGCACCGATCTCAGAGAACAGGATGAGGTAGCCAGGAAGAAAGACAGATGTGATCACGATGAAGCCAAGCCTGAGTTGGCAGCGGCAGCAAGAGCGGCGTGGTCCGGGGACCCCAGGGGGCGTGGCCATCTCTCCGCAGGCTTGCTCTGTCCCTAGAAAAGCGGCGGTCCAGCCGGGCTGTCTCCAGAGCTGCGCCCGCAACAGAGCCGCCAGCACAGCGCAGACGGTCCCGCTCCCAACCCCTGCTACCTCCTTCCTACTTCCAGGGCTGGGACGTCCTGAGCCTGCAGGGACACCTCCCGGCCCCCAGCGAGGAGGCTGCACGGATACCTCGGTCTCCCAGTCGGGGGCGCATTCAGGTACCGTACCAGGACGCGCGCGTGCCTTGGACATCCACCGAAGGTACTCGGTTCCCCGGTTCCCGGGAAGGATTCCTCCTTATGCGTCCCAGCCATGCAGCTGAGGATGGAAAGGGCGTTGGTCCAGAAGCTAACCAACCGAGGGGGAAGAAAGTCTTGGAGCGACCCCCACACACACGCCCCTCACCCTTTTAGAAGACCTCCCCCTGCCGGCCGCTGTCAGCGCACTCTGCACAATTCCCGACCGCGTGAAACGACGTGAATACTCTATTTCTTTCTTCCTTAAGAAGAACTTAGCTTCTTTTAATGAGAGGAGGAGAAAGGCAGTGTACAGAAAGGAGATGAGAGAGTCTTGGGTTCTGGGTTCCAAATTCTTCACCCCGTCTCTCTGAGCTGGCTGCAGTGGTGTGTATAGGAGCACTTAGAGTGCCAGTCTAGATGAACAGCTATGTGGCAACCTATTGGCAATTTAGTCCTTGATCTTTAGCCGGTGTGTTAGGTCGATTTGCTGAGGAGTTCACTGTCAGGGAAACTTTGCAGAGAAGCCACTAGAACATGACGGTCTGTGCTGACCGGAACTGACTCTGCACCATCTCAGACTAGCTTGTACCCACCTTGTTTTCCCGCTCTTTTATGGACATATCTTCATTGCTAAACTGATCCCAAACAACCCAAGAAAATCCAGGATCCACCAGACGTGAGTGCTTAACAGCAATAACAACAATATATATATATATATATATATATATATATATATATATATATATATATATATCTGAAAAAAATTGATAGTTGAGATAGCAGGTGCCATTAGGCAAACAGATTTTTAATAATCAGTTAAAAACTGACAAACCCTATTGTAGCGACATGTAGAATGACATGTAGAACGAAATGAATATCACATCTTCACACACATACACTAGATTTCAGTGGCTCCCAAAGACAGTTGGTTGACAAGCCAGAAACATAACGTCCCTTTCAAGGGTCGGTCTGAGAGTCGGCAGCTCAGAGGAACAGCAACAAATACATACTCAACTATACCATAAACCAATTTTCTAAGTTTAAATGGATCACTAACTTTTGAATAATTTCTTTGTTAAAAAAAACTACCTCTCTCTCTCTTTTGCCTATATATAGGATGGATTCTGCTGCAAGAAGATGGTTCTATCTTTTCTTGGGCGGCATCATGATGTTCAATCTCACCAACGCTGACTTCGAATTTCAAAAGGGAGTGCTTGGCAGCGTCAGCCCCAGCATCACGGAAGACATAGATCTCCAGTGCTGGGACACCTGCTCTCTGGCACTGATAGACCTGAAGGAACTCAAGATAGAGCACAGCGCGGATGCTTTCTGGAATTTCATGCTCTTCTTGCAAAAATCTCAGCGCCCTGGCCATTACAACGTCTTCTTAAACATAGCCCAAGACTTCTGGGACATGTACATAGACTGCTTGCTGTCAAGGTCTCATGGGATGGGCAGAAGACAGGTGCTCTCTTCCAAGTATCATTTCCCACGGAAAATGGCGGGAGGTGGTGATCTGAAGGTATACCTACGCAAGTAACAAGGTGGTTTTGATTTTAAAATTCGCTCTTTAGTCCTATTATTTCAGGTTTATCAAATAACCTAGCAAGTTTTCTATGTTTAGTTTTTTTTTTTATAACACACACATCTATATTATTTTTACATTACTTAGGAATCATGAGAGTGCTTGATTATAGGTGACCTTGGAATATGCATGTCTAGGTCATTAACATCATCTTATTGTTACCCCATGAGTAATTTCATAAGAAAGCCAGATAGCTCTGTATATATTCATATTGTAAGACTTCACGTCAGGCGTGTGGTAGCCTTTTTAACAACACATTTTCAACTGGGAAAGAATGGAATCTTATATTAATAAATATTAATATCTTCCAACACTACAGAAATAGATTATAAAATATGAGTTTTACATTTAAGAAGAAAGCCACAAAAAAAAAAATACCTCAAGCAAGATGCCAGCTGAGCACATACCCCTGTCAGTATTTGTCAAGTCAAATGTTTCCTGCTGTACTTAAAATTATGATTTCCAGTTTTTTAATCTCGTGGTTTTCTTTCTTAGATAAAATATTTACCTTACTGATAGTGATTGGATTATTTGCAAATATTTAGGTAATTTGTTATTGTTATTTAGAAAGCATTATGTCAGGTTATCTTTGTTTTAAAATACTACTTAAAGTATGTTTTTTTTTCTTTTTTACTAGTCAGTGTAGTGAAGTTGTTATTAATTTTATAAAGTATCTGGTACACTAATTTGACTTTAAAACTGTGCCCCAACTAATGTCAGCATCTAAAAATGATATTTAATCTTGATGTAATGTTCTGTTCGCCTTCCGAAATGTACATTTCAACACTAATCCATCTTATATATTAAATATTTTTCTATGTATTAAGGACTAAAAACTTAACTTTTCTTGTGTATGGATGTGTGTGTGTGTGTGTGTGTGTGTGTGTGTGTGTGTTTGTGTACACTGTGGGAATGCAGTGCCTGCAGAGGCTAGAAAAGCATGTTAGATCCTATGGCACAGGGGTTACAGATGGTTGTGAGTCATGATGTGGGTGCCAAGAATTGAACTCAAGTCCTCTATGAGAGCAGCCAGTGCTCTTAACCTCTGACCCATTTCTCCAACCCCTATGTTCCAATTCTTATTGTCTCAACATTAAAGGATCAACAAACAGAAATGAAAAATGTACAATTTACTAAAACGTAGCACAATAGAATTTTCATGTAGGTATTAAGTCAGTCACATTTTATACTTTATACACATTTTATATTATTTACAAGTCACACCATATTCCACAAATGGTATGAAGCTTTAAAGAACAAAAGAATGACAAACCAAACCAACCAACCAACCAAACAAACAAAAAAACCAAACCAAACAAAAATCAAAAACCCCCCAAAAATGACACACAGCCTAAGATGAATTGGAATGGTGGGAAATGATTACAAGAAACTACTAATACATGATTATGGTTTATATTAATGAGTTGATTGTATGCCATCGGGCAGCACTTTGGGGACTTGGGGGAAGCTCGAGTTGGTAAAGTGTTTGTGGCACAAACATGAGGGTCTAAGACCAGATACTCAGGCAGAGGAGCATATGTCTGCAAGACCAGACCTGGGAAAGGGGAGACAGGAGGCTCCCTGGGACTTCCTGGACAGCCAGGCTAATAGAGTTGGTAAGTAAGAAACCTGTCTCACAAAATAAAATTTGAGTGGTAGAGGAAGGTACCCACCATTGGCCTCTGCCTATCCCCAGCCTATACCCTTGATAGAGACCTGAAAATTAGTGAGATATCTAATATCCAAAGTGAAAAGGGACTCAAAGCAGTGTGAAGATACTTGTTTTTACAAGAAAAACCAAACCAAATGTTAAGGAAATTCCTCCACTTTGCCAGGACAAAGAACCAGCAGAAATCTGCCTTGTATTTCCCTAATGGCTATTGTGCTATAAGTAACGTTTTCAAGTGTTTTGATAATGATGACACATTCTTCTCTGTACAAAATTAAATCTAAGCAAAGTTAAAAGCAGCAAAAATAGCTAGGTAGTGGTAGCACATGTCTTTCATTCCAGCACTCAAGAGGTAGAGACAAGCAGATCTCTGTGAGTTTGAGGCCAGCCCAGTCTACAAAAATAGTTGCAGGACAGCCAGGACTACACAAAGAAATCCTGTCTCAGCTGCCCCCCCAAACAGAATAAAATAATACTGAATAAATATACAACTGTCTGATGTTATTGTTTTATTTTTCATTTTTATTTATTTTTTTATTAATTACAATTTATTTACTTTGTATCCCAGCAGTAGCTGCCTCCCTCCTCCCCTCCCAATACCCACCCTACCTCCCTTTTCTCTTTCCATGCCCCTCCCATAGTCCACTGATAGGGACGAAGGACCTCCTCCCCTTCCATCTGACCCTAGCCTATCAGGTCTCATCAGGACTGGCTGCATTGTCTTCCTCTAGGGCCTGGTAATGCTGTCCTCCCCCATCAGGAGGAGGTGATTAAAGAGCCTGCCACTGAGCTCATGTCTGAGACAGCTCCTGTTCCCCTTACTAGGGTACCCACTTGGAGACTGAGCTGCCGTGGGCTACATCTCTGCAGGGGTTCTAGGTTATCTCCATGCATGATCCTTGCTTGGAGTATCAGTCTCAGAAAAGACCCCTAGGTCCAGAATTTTTGGTTCTGTTACTCTCCTTGTGAGGCTCCTGTCCCCTCCAGGTCTTTCTATCTCCCCCTTCTTTCATAAGATTCCCTGCACTCTGCCCAAAGTTTGGCTATGAGTCTCAGCATCTGATTTGATACCCTGCTGGATAAAGTCTTTCAGAGGCCCCTTGTGGTAGACTCCTGTCCTGTTTCCTGTTTTCTCCCTCTTCTGATGTCATCCCATTTGCCTTTCTGAATGAGGATTGATCATGTTACCCAGGGTCCTCCTTCTTGCTTAGCTTCTTTAGGTGTACAGATTTTAGTATGTTTATCCTATATTATATGTCCAATATCCACTTATAAGTGAGAATTTACCATGTGTGTCTTTCTGTTTCTAGGATATCTCTCTCAGGATGATCTTTTCTAATTCCTAACATTTGCCTGCAAATTTCATGATTTCCTTGTTTTTAATTGCTTAGTAGTATTCCATTGTGTAAATGTATCACAATTTCTGTATCCATTCCTCAGTTTAAGGACAGCCAGGTTCTGGCTATTAAAATAAAGCTGCTACAAACATGGTAGAGCAAATGTCCTTGTTGTATTATACTTGAGCATCTTTTGGATATATGCCTAGGAGCGGTATAGCTGGATCTTGAGATAGCACTATTTTTAAATGTATGAGAAAGCACCAGATTGATTTCCGGAGTGGTTGTACAAGTTTACATTCCCACCAGCAGTGGAGGAGGGTTCCCCTTTCTCCACAACTCCTCCAGCATGTGTTGTCCCTTGAGTTTTTCATCTTGGCCATTCTGATGGGTGTAAGGTGAAATCTCAGGGTCGTTTTGATTTGCATTTCCCTGATGACTAAGGATGTTGAGCATTTCTTTAAGTGTTTCTCTACCATTTGGTATTCCTCTATTGAGAATTCTCTGTTTAGCTCTGTAACCCATTTTTTAATTGGTTAATTGATTTGTTGCTGTTTAACTTCTTGAGTTCTTTATATATTCTGGATATTAGCCCCTCTGTCAGACATACAGTTGGTGAAGATCCTTTCCCAGTATGTAGGCTGTCATTTTGGGCTGCTGACAGTGTCCTTTGCTTTACAGAAGCTTTTAGTTTCATGAGGTCCCATTTTTTTGATTGTTGATCTTACAGCCTGTGCTGTTGGTGTTCTGTTCAGGAAGTTGTCTCCTGTACCAATGAGTTCTAGGGTATTCCCCATTTTTTCTTCTAACCGATTTAGTGTGTCTGGTTTTATGTTGAGGTCTTTGATCCACTTGGACTTTAGTTTTATGCAGAGTGATAAGTATGAATCTATTTGCATTTTTCTACATGTAGACATCCAGTTTTAGACCAGCACCATTTGTTGAAGATGCTGTCTTTTTCCATTGCATGGTTTTTGCTTCTCTGTCAAAAATCAAGTATCCGTAGGTGTGTGGGTTTATTTCTCGGTCTTCTATTCAATTCCTTTGATCCATCATTCTGTTTCTATGCCAGTACCATGCAGTTTTTATTACTGTTGCTCGGTAGTACAGCTTGAGATCAGGGATAGAGATACCTCCAGACAATGTTATTGTGCAGGATTGTTTTTAGCAATTCTGGGTTTTTTGTTTTTCTATATGAAGTTAAGAATTGTTCTTTCAAGTTTTGTAAAGAATTGTGTTGGTATTTTGATGGGAATTGCATTGAATCTGTAGATTGCTTTTGGCAGGATGGCCATTTTCACTGTTAATCCTACCGATCCATGAGCACGGGAGATCTCTCCATCTTCTGATATCTTCTTCAATTTCTTTCTTCAGAGACAAACAGGTCTTTCACTTGTTTGGTTAGAGTCACACCAAGGTACTTTATGTTATTAGTGGCTATTGTGAAGGGTGTTGTTTCCCTAATTTCTTTCTTGGCCCTTTGTCTTTGGTATATAGGAGGGCTACTGATTTTTTTGAGTTGATTTTGTATCCTGCCACTTTGCTGAAGGTGTTTATCAGCTGGAGGAGTTCTCAGGTTGAAATTTTGGGGTCATTCATGTATACTATATCATCTGCAAATAGTGATACTTTAACTTCTTCCTTTCTGATTTGTATCCCCTTGATCTCCTTTAGTTGTCTTATTGCTCTAGCAAGGACTTCAAGAACAATGTTGAAGAGATACGGAGAGAGTGGGCAGCCTTTCCTTGTCCCTGATTTTCAGTGGGATTGACTTAAGTTTCTCTCCATTGAGTTTGATGTTGGCTAAAGGCTTGCTGTTTACTGTCTTTATTATATTTATGTATATGCCCTATATCCCTGATCTCTCTAAGACTTTAAACCTGAGTGGGTGTTGGAGTTTGTCAAATGCTTTTTCAGCATTTAAGATGATGATCATGTGTATTTTTTCTCCTTCAGTTTATTTATATAGTGAATTACATTGATAGATTTCAATATATTGAACCACTCTGCATGCCTGGAATGAAGCCTGCTTGGTCATAGTGGATGATATCTTTGATGTGTTCTTGGATTCGGCTTGCTAGTATTTTATTGAGTATTTTTGCATCAATGTTCATAGGAGAGATAGGCCTGAAGTTCTCTTTGTTGGGTTTTTGTGCAGTTTAGGTATCAAGGTGACTGTGGCCTCCCAGAATGAGTTTGGTAATGTTCCTTCTGTTTCTATTTTGTAGAATAGTTTAAAGCTCTTTGAAGGTTTGGGAGAATTCTGTGTGGAAACCATTTGACCCTGGGCTTTTTTTTTTTTTTTTTTTTTGGAAAGGAGAATTTTGATGAGTGCTTCTATTTCCTTGGGGGATATAGGACTATTTAATCTATTTACCTGATCTTGATTTACTGTTAGTAAATGGAATCTATCAAGAAAATTGTCCATTTTATTTAGATTTTCAAATTTTGTGGTATATCGGCTTTTGAAGTAAGACCTAATGATCATTTGGATTTCCTCAGTTTCTGTCATTATGTCTCCCTTTTCATTTCTGATTTTGCTTACTTGAATAGTTTCTCTTTGTCTTTTAGTTAGTTTGATTTTGTTGATTTTCTCAAAGAACCAGCTCTTGGTTTCATTGATTCTTTGCATAGTTTTCTTTGTTTCTAATTTATTCATTTCAGCTCTGAGCTTGATTATTTCCAGCCGTCTACTACTCTTGGGTGTGTCTGCTTATTTTTTTTTTTCTCCCTAGGGCTTTTAGGTGTGCCATTAAGTTGCTTGTGTGAGATGTCTAAAACGTCTTTCTGAAGTAATTTAGTGCTATTAACTTTTCTCTTAGCACTGCTTTCATTGTGTCCCGTAAGTTTGGGTAAGTTGTGCCTTCATTTTCATTGAATTTTAGGAAGTATCTAATTTCTCTTTTTATTTCTTATCCAGCTGTTACTGAGTAGAAAGTTGTTTAGTTTCCATGTTTATGTAGGCTTTTTTTTTTTGTCATTTCTGTTGTTGCTGAGGTCTAGTTTTAGGCCATGGTGATCTGATAGGACACAAGAGATTATTTTGATCTTATTTTATCTGTTGAGGCTTGCTTTGTGCCTGACTATGTGGTCAATTTTGAGGAAGGTTCCATGAGGTGCTGAGAAGAAGGTATACTCTTTTGAGTTTGGGTGAAAAGTTCTATAGACATCTAAGGTCTATTTGATTTAGAACATCTGTATGTGTCATTATTTCCCTATTTAATTTCAGTCTAGAAGATCTTTTGGTGAGAGTGGAATGTTGAAGTATCCCACTATAAAGGTATTGGGATCTATGTGTGATTTAAGCTTTAATAATGTTTCATTTACAAATGTAGGTGCTTCTGTATTTGGGGCAAAAATATTCAGGATTGTGATGTCCTCCTGGTGGATTTTTCCTTCGATGATAATGATGTGCCCTTCATCTTTTTTTTGATAAATTTTTGTTGAAAGTCTATTTTATTAGATAGTAGGATGGCTACTCTAATTTGTTTTCTGGGTCTGTTTGCTTTGAAGGGTCTTTTCCAGCCTTTTACTCTGAGGCAGTGTTTATCTTTGTTGCAGAGGTATGTTTCTTGGATCAGAATGTTGGATCCTGTTTCCACAACCATTCTGTTAGTCTGTGTCTTTTTATTGGAGACTTGAGTCCATCGATGTTTGATAGATAATAGTGACCAATGAATGTTAGTTCCTTTTATTGTGGAATTGGTGGTGATACTGTGATTATTTGCTTGTTTTCTTTTAATTTTTTTTGTTGTGAAGTTTTCTATATCCTGTGTTTTCTTGGGTGTAGTTGATTTTGTTAGATTGGAGTTTTCTAATATCTTTTCTAGGGTGGGTTGCTGAAGCAGTCTTGGTTGGCATCTGTGGTCTCTTACAGTCTGCATGACATTTGTCCAGGCCCTTCTGGCTTTCATAGTTTCTGAGGAGAAGTCTGGTGTGATTCTGGTAGGTCTAACTTTATATGTTACTTGGCCTTTTTCCCTTGCTGCTTTTAATATTTTTTCTTTGTTCTGTAGAGTTAGTGTTTTGACTATACTTTCATTTGCCCCTGTAGGCCCAAATCTAAGAGTATAGAACAGGATTTGGGGGGGGGGATCACCTGTGCTTTCCTATTAGGCCTGCGAGTGAGACAGTGTGCCTTTGAGTGTGTGTGTGTGCAGAGCCCCAGATCTAGTGTTCCTGTATGCTAGTAACCAGACATCAGATCCCTCCCATCCACACTCCCACTGTGGGCAACATAGCAATCCCTGGGACAGTGTTCTCAACATTGAAGCCCTTGTTCTGTGGGTCTCCCAGTGGAGTCCAGGAAAACAATTCCTGGAGCCAAGAAGGTGCAACCCAGACAGATCTGAAAGCCTAGAGAACAGTACAACAGGCCTGTGGGCCACTGAAGCATTTAGGGTACCTGCACATGTGCACTGTGCCTGTGAACCTTGCCAGCATCCCCACCTGCACTTAAGCTCCACCCTTCCAGGCATCTATATGCTCTAGCACCGGGTCTTTCGTGGCACACTTCCACGCACACTCCCATGCTTTTGTACATGTGCCTGCAACCTTCCTGCAACTGAAACACCAATATCCACTCTCAAAATGGTGGACCTCTCTCATCTTCCTGAAGAATCCTCCCAGTCTGTAGTACAGGATCCAGGATGAAACAGCGAAGGTTACAGATAAGCAGATGGCTAGAGGCCAGAGTAAGAATACATCTAACAAAAATCAGGACATCATGGCTTCACCAGCAACCCCCAAAACCAATATATATTGTAATTCATTAGAAACACAAGAAAATGATCTCCAATCTATGCTTATCCAGTAATTAGAGGTATATAAAGAGGAAAGGAACAAAGCTCTCAAAGAAATACAGGCAGATACAGTCAAACAAATAGAGGCATATGTAGAGGCACATATAGAGAGGAAATAAACAAAAAAATAGAGGCCATGATGGACAGACAGGAATCCAAATACAAACAGATGAAGGAAATGGTGCAAGACATGAAAACAGAATTAGAATCAAAGAAAACACGTAGAGAGAAACTGCTGGCGATGGATAACCTAGAAAAGAGATCAGAAACTACAGAGGTAAGCATCACCAACAGAATTCAAGATATGGAGAAGAGACTCTCAGGTTCTAAAGACACAATTGAAGAAATCAATATCTCTCTCAATAAAGACAAAATCAGAAAATGTCCTGACATAAAACATCCAAGAAATCAAAGACATCATGAAAAGACACAACCTAAGAATAATAGGAGTAGACAAAAAAGAAGATTCCAGGCTCCAAGGTCCAGAAAATATTTTCAAGAAAATCATAGAAAAAAAATTACCCCAACTTAAAGAGATGTTTGTAAACATTCAAGAGGCCTACAGAACACCAAATTGACTAGACCAGACTTCTCTCTGTTCGGCCGCCAGGCAGGGAGGCCCATACCACCACCTTGCTTGAGGCAAGGGAAAGCGTAGGAGGTCAAATGTTCAGCACTCTCAGACCCTGGAGACATCCACAGGCGACCTGGGTCCAAACTGTCTTAGTTCACAGTTTGTCCCCTCTCACCCAGGAAGCCTCAGTGTTGATGTTCTGGCTTCAGCCGCCCCTCCACTCACCAGTTCCAAGTTTTGGATCCTCTGTCCCTCAGCTCCAGTGTGTGCTGGTTGCCACCATCTTGGAACCCCCTCCTGTCTGATGTCTTAACTTGATGTAAGAATAAACCGTGAATTAAAAGGAGTGTGTTCTCTAAGTCTGGACTACTCTGAAATTCTCCTGAAGTAATCTAGGGCTTTCTAAGGGTTTTACATACATATACAAATTTAAGGAGGGTACAGGAACGGCAGTTTAAGAACCTTCAGTGTAAAATGAACAAACATCTTAGTTTTTCAAATATTACTTGACAAGTATTAGTTCGTGTAAGCAAATGTTGCCTGATAAGATATTAGCTTGGTGGCAAACAGAATGAGACTGTAGGTCCAATATGTATTTAGGTTGAAAATGTTTTGCTTATTAATGGAGGAGTTGTAAGCCCTGGAAATCAGGTAGCACTGATGATATGACTAACGTCCCTTTTCTGTATAGGCTCAAGAGGTGTCCTAGTTTTCCTTAGGAAACAGTTTAATGATTTTCATCATCTGTGTACAAATGATTACAGTTAAATAGTCAGTGCCCTAAAGCAAGACTGTACCAGTTTGGCCTAAAATTTGTTTGAACAGTTGTTCATCATCCATACTAACTATAAAAAAATGTATCTCATCAGTGATAACCATTTCAGCTTTAATTAATAAAATTAGGGTCTAGCCTTCTATCCTAAACTGATTACAAATGGTCGGTTCATTCTCCTAAATTATATTCTGCTACACTGTAAGAACATTTGGGCTGGAGAGTTAATTCAGTGCGTAAAAGTTCTTAACACCAGGTCCTCGCAGAAGGACCCTCATGGTGGAAGGAGAGACTCTTACAAATTGTCCTCTTGCCCTCATTTGCATCTGAAGCACACATAAACACATACACTATACATTAAAAATAAATTCAAAAATAATTTTTTAATGGGTTTGGATTTATGCTGAGTTCATTTAATTTAACACAGAACTGGTAAATTTCCCTGAACCTTAAGGATATGGAGTCACAAAACAGCTAATTCTGATTCCAAAATACATGTTTTATTTGATTAGTATATATTTTTTGAAAGCTTGAAATTTGTCTCAGCTGACTCATGGAAGAAAACAGACTGTCCATCTCTCAGAAAGGGCAGCCTAGACAGCATATCCACTAGGACTCAAGAGTAGCATGTACAGGATATGAAAAGCGAACGAAAAGCAGAGAAGTTTGTGCTGCTATGAGAGAGGTGACCTCACATCTACACTTTTCCATTGGATAAATGCAAGGTAGTCTTGTTGCAAGGAGATTCCTACTAACTCAGCTTCAGCCCTTCGACCCAACAGTGCCCACAGTCTAAATTACTCAGGATGGGAGATACAAAGGCCATGAACATAACACTTAGGGTAGACTATTTGGAGTAACTGATGGACAGCCAAAAGTTCTAACTGATAAACTTTACAACTTCAGGTAGGGGACCAATAGTCTTTCCAAAGATAGTGGTGATAGCTTTTCTGATACATATGTCAGTGTTTTCAACAAAAATAAACTATCTTATCCTGACTTTACTTTTTTATAATATTTTACTAAAATATTTATTCTAAACTTTGCCTTACATTTATATATAAATATATATTCAAAAAGTTGTTTTACAAGTTGTTTTACAACCTTTTACATCTAAAAAGTTCCACATAGGATTTATTTCAAAAGGTTCCAGAGAACATCAGATAGGGATGCCCTTTTTAGGCTCATTCAGTGTCTTCATTTTCACCTTCTGCAAGGCTCCTCCTTGAATAGGCAGTTTTTTAAGAGCAATGTCAGTGTCAGCCAGATGTCCTCCCAATAATCGGGCAGGAGTGCTTTCCACTGTGACCACCTGACCTGAAGGAACCTGGAAAAGGAAAAGACAACTATAAAACTTTTTGATAATCCATATATGCTATGGTTTGCTTTGTAAAGGATAACAAGCGTAAGTGACAGTGTGACATAAGAGAAAGACAAGGACTTTAGTGCCAGGAAAGTGGGCTTGAATTCTTCTACTGCTCATTAGTTTTGTGGTGGGGACAAACTGGGTCCAAGAGAGATCACTAAGAGTACTGGTATGGTCACTCACTCTGGCCTACTTCCGGGCAAAGGAGGATCATGCTTATGTTACAAGCAAGATGCAATCAGTGCCTTGAGCAGAGTTGGCAGCACCTTCTTAGGGAACCTGGGTGTGTGGGTGGGGGTGTAGGGGTGTGGGGGTTTGTTTGCTCTAATCTAGCACTAGGAATGGGGATACGGGAGGGGAAAAGTATCTTAGAGATAAACATGCCTTAATGATGGGAAATCTGAACAATAAAAAGCAAGACATATGAGGCAAAAGTTCCCACAGAAACAACATTTTGGCAGCCCAAATTTTCTATCTGTTAAGAAAGAGATGTGGAAAAAATGATCTTACCGTTGTGTTCAGACCTTTAATAATTGTTCGGTGATATATTGCATTTTGTGGACATTCAATACATTTAGAGGATTCTATAGCCTTTTCTTGAAGCCTTTTTGCTTTCTGAAAAATTTTAAATTAGAAAGAAAACAGCATTAATTGCCAGTGAAGCATGGTTGATGGTTCTTACCAGAAGTACTTTTGTTCTCCTGTTCTTAACTCTGTTGCTAATGGAAATAAAATCCTTCGGGGAGAAGGGTCAGGTGGAGAGCAGGCACAGTTTCTTGGACTTACTCCTGCCTATTATGTCAAAGTTGCTGAGAACACTACCCTGGCTTCTTAGTATTAAGCCAAATGGAGTGCAAAGCAGCATTTTCCATTGGTAAACCGTGCTTTCGGTTGTCAATCTAAGAGGAAGGCAAGGGTGTAATAGTGGTAGAATCCTACAGAACATTATCAGAAATGTGGAAATGAATATTCCTTATGATTAGCTGGTTGTTGTGTATACCACTAGTGCTTTGAAAATCCTACCTTTAATGTTTTAGCATTTGATGTTCTAGCCATGAAGTAGTCCCATGACTTGTTAGCCAGATCTCTTTGCTTGTGTGTGGCCTGTATCTGAAACAAATAATAAAATCAAGAGTTTCAGTTCACATACTAAAATCTGTTTACCTAAAGAAGCTAAACAAGGAGGAGGACCTGGGGTAAGAGGATCAATCTTCATTTACAAAGACAAAGGGGGTGGACATTGGAAGAAGGAGAAAACAAGAAACAGGACAGGAGCCTACCACTGAGGGTCTCTGAAAGACTCTACCTAGCAGTGTATCAAAGCAGATACTGAGACTCATAACCAAACTTTGGGCAGAGTGCAGGGAATCATAGGAAAGAAGGGGGAGTTAGTAAGACCTGGAAGGTACAAGGAGAGCAACAGAACCAAAAAGTCTGGACTCAGGGGTATTTTATGAGACTGATACTCCAAACAAAGTACATTCATGGATATAACCTAGAACCCTTGCTCAGATGTAGCTCATGGCAGCTCAGTATCCCACCCTAGTAAGGTGAACAGGGACTGTCTTTGACATGAACTCAGTGGCAGGCTCTTTGACCTCCTCCTCCCCTGCCCTCCCCCCCCCTGCACCCCGAGGGAGGAGCAGCCCTGCTGGGCCACAGAGGAGACATTGCAGCCAGTCCTGATGAGACCTGATAAGCTAGGGTCAGATGAAAGGGGAGGAGGTCCTCCCCTATCAGTGGACTTGGAGAGAGGCATGGAAGGAGATGAGGGAGGGAGGGTGGGATTGGGAGGGAATGAGGGAGGGAGCTACAGCTGGGATACAAATAAAATGTAATTAATGTAAAAAATAACAATTAAAAAAAAGAGTTTCAGTTCCCATGAAATACACCAAAGGGCTCAGAAGGTCCCTATTTAAAAGGAGGTACCTCCCTTTTGCTAAAGGAAACTTTGAGGCTGACAACTGCTTCAGAAGTGGGGACAGATGTATGATAATAAATATTCAGTCAAAATGGCAAAGGTTCTGTGATTCAAAAGAACTTATGCATTGAGGCAGCAAAAGCTCCATGTTTTCTTCCCAGTTCTGAGCAGATCAACCCGCTTATGGTAGTACCCATGTCATAAAAACTGTGGAAGCAGATCTTTGAAGTAATTAGTTGCAGGGTGGCGTTGACATGTGAATGTCCAAAGATCCTAAGCTGAAGAGTCAAGCATTCGACAGTCTATTTGGAAATATCAGGCAATATGCAACACTTTGGAGATCATCTTAAGGAGCTTAACTGTAGTCATAGAGATCCAAGACAAAGTGGTGATGTTTCTCTGTCCACGGTTAAAATTGTTCAAATGCTTCTTAGTTGGTAAAACACATCAACAAACAGACTATGCTACAGGTTCTTGCCTGTGCATGTTAAAGAGAAATGGCTGTTTTTCCCAGCTGACTTCTCTGTTTAGCTGAAGTCAGGCCAGTTTGCCTAGGCATGAACAGAAGCAATGATCACAGTATTTTGGCACTGAGTAGAAAGGGCTGTGAAAGGAGGAGGTGTGAAAGACAACCTTATTTCCCTATGAAGTTATGTATTCTGTTATGGATAAGTTGCCAGAATACATTTAAAGTACATAGTTAAGAAAGTTATAACTTTTAGAACCCTGTTGAATACTTAAAATATAGAAGTGTCTCAAGTATCTCTTTACCTTGTAAAATCTAAGAGTACAAAATGAAATTATAGGGCTGGGGAGATAACTCAGCCAACAAATTGCTTGTCGTGCAAGCATGAAGACCTGAGGTCCATCACCAGATCCTACATAAAAAGCCTGGTGTGGTAGCCTATGCTAGTAATTGCAGTTGTGGGAGGAAGAGACAGGAGGATCTCTGGGACTTTCTCGCCAGTCAGTTGGGCTGAATCAGGTGCTCTGGGCCCTGAAAACAAGCAAGCAAGCAAACAAACAAAACCAAACAACAACAACAACAACAAAACCTGTGGAGAATGACTAAGAAAGACAGTCAACATCCACTTCTGGCTTCGACATTTCTGCACATACCTCCAAGCACATGTATGTGCAAACGTGCATATGCCACATATACACACAGAAAAAAAGACAACAAAAATTAAATTGTAATGCCAAAAGCAACACCGACAATAGCAATTGTATGTTACACTCTTAACTCCATAGTTTCTTTTAAAATTGCACAAAGACATTGAAAATAAGTACTAGAGAAAGGAAAACAATTCAATGTTGACATATTTACAAACAGTGCGCATCTATTTTATGGATAACTTCATCCAGTTTACACACAGAGATGAACAACGTGTGCCTCAAAGGCTGTCTGGTACCCTTGGATTACCTTTGCATATGCTCTTTGTTCATTTTGCACATCTTGGCGTGCTTGGCTTTCGATCATCTCACTTTGCAAGGAAGCAACCATCTTTCCAACATTTTCTGATGCTGCTATAATAAAATTCAAAGAGTCTTCATCTGAATCAACTAATTTTAACTTTTCCAACTTTATTTCTTCAAATATTTCATTCCATATTTCCCCAACCTGTAATGGCAAAGTTTAAGTTGAGAAAGTTAGACTAACAAAAGTAAGTGAAACCATCTTACACAATTCTTTACATGGTTGCCATCTTGTTAATTCTTTTTTTTTCAACTACTTTTTATATTTTTTATTTTTATTATTAGTTACATTTTATTAACTCTTTATCCCAGTTGTATCCCACTCCCTCATTCCCTCCCAATCCCACCCTCTCTCCCTCACCTCCTCCCTGCCCCTTTCCAAGTCCACTGATTGGGGAGGATCTCCTCCCCTTCCATCTGACCCTGTTTTATCAGGTATCTTCAGGACTGGCTACAAAGTCCTCCTCTGTGGCCTAGCAGGGCTGCTCCTCCCTTAGGGGGTGGGGAGGTCAAAGAGCCTGCCATTGAGTTCATGTCAAGCTTTTCCTCACTTACTTTTTGGGAATAAGTTAGATATGCTGAGATTGAGATGGGTACCAGCTACAACTGAGGATTCTGGCTTATAGTTCTTTCTCTTCCATAGCTAGTTGAGCTTGGCTTTCTGAACTACTCATGCTATTCTTCTTGACAGCCCTCTAATGAAGGCTAGGTTATGCTGAACCAGACGAACAAACAGAGGGGCATTCAGGGAGCCTAGGACATGTGACCCTTAGAAAAGGGATCCTGGTCTTCACCTACTAGCAAAAGCATCTCAAACTAAATCACAAGTTTTTAACTCCACATTTTCATCATGCCAAAATCTCCATCTCTTATTCTAAAAGGAAGGTACTAGAATATGCTGAGAAATAGAGAAACAGTTATGTCATCTAAAACAGGAATGCAACTTGATATTTTTCATCTGAAACAAAAAGGTTTGTTAGTGTTAGTTTTACAATTGTATGTATCATAGTTTCTCTCTTTAAATTTTTTTTCCTAAATATTATTATTATTTGTTACAATTTATTCACTTTGTATACCAGCTATGGGCCCCTCTCTCATCTCCTCCTGGTCACACCCATCCTCCCTCTTCCCCCTCCCCATGTCTCTCCCATAGTCTATTGATAGGGGAAGTCCTCCTCCCCTACTACCTGACCCTAGCCTATCAAGTCTCATCAGGACTGTCTGGAACCTCTTTCTCTGTGGCCTAGTTAGGCCACCTCACCAGGGAGAGGTGATCAAAGAGCCAGTCAGTGAGTCCATGTCAAAGACAGCCCCTGCACTCATTACTAGGGAACCTACATGGAGACTGAGCTACCCATGGGCTACATCTAAGCATGGACTCTATTGCCTACTTTTGGATCACTCCCCCCTGGCAGGGCTGCCTTGCCCAGCATCAGCTTCAGAGGATGAAGATATTCTCAGTCCTGACATGAATTGATGTGCTGGGGAAGGTTGATACGGGGGTGAGGGAGCTCTCCTTTTCTGGGGGAGAGAAGAGGGGGAGAGGAGAGTGGAGGGACTGAGAAAAGAGGAGGGAGGCAACACCTTTGGAATGTAAAATAAATCAAGAAAATAAAAATACATAAAAAGAAAAATAACCCCTCCCTACCAAAGGAGGAAAAAAGAAAAATAAAAAGAAAACAGACTCTGTCTCCTAGTGGCTATCAATTGCCTCTGGTTTCTCAGCTAGCAATGAGATTTCCTGACCACCTCCCTGATCCATGATGTGACTGTTTGGTTTTCTCTTGTGCCAGTTTTGTGCATGCAGTCACAGCCATTTGTCAGTTTATATGTAGAACTACTCTGTTGTGTGACTGTGAGGTATGTGGCTCTGTTAGCTGTATAAAATCTTGTTTCATGAAAGAAACCCAAAGAATGGTATGCTTACTTAATCGTAATATGAAAAACATAAAGAGAAGTAGTAGAGTATTTAAACAATTGTTCCAGTTATCGACATGTATTTTATTTCCAAATTTATTTGTAACATAATAATTTTAAGTTATTAAAATGGTACTTACTTTAAAATCAAGGTATCTATGTATTATACAGAGGGTGACAAAATCTTCAGCAGATAGGCCAGGTAAGTTTTCAAAACCTACGAAAATTTGTGCAGAGAGAATTATTTTAACAGGAGCAAATGATTTCAAGCATTGTATCTCTACCATAAAAACAAATGCAAACTGATACTTGTACTTCTGCCAGGTTATCCTTACACAGCCATTAGCAGAGAACTCATTTTCTTTGGACCATGGTCAAAGAAAATTTTCTTTTTTGAGAAAGGGTTTCTCTGTGTAGCCTTGGCTGTCCTGGACTCACATTGTAGACCAGGCTGGCTTCGAACTTACAGAGATCTGCCTGCCTCTGCCTCTCTGAGTGGCTCAGAGTGATTTTACTATTAGAAGCTAAAGAGCAGATAACTCTTCCCTTATTAGGAAGCAAAGATTTTGAAACTTGTGATAATTCAGAATGCTAATATTTAATTCTAAACATCTGAATTAACTGCTCATGTCCTGCTACACCCTGAAATTTCCTGAAAAGCTGAATGAGCTGCTCGTGGGGCTCCACATTCCAAAATTCTAACTTTTGATTGGTGTTACAATGTATGCATGGAGGTCATGAGGGAACATGCATTTAATGTATAAAGAGAATTTATTCCTGTGTGTCAAGCGGACTCTGTAGCAAAAGCAAGTGCCCTGATACTCGTCACACAAAAACACTCGTGAATCTCAGTGCTTTCTTACCTAGTTTGCCCAACACGGCATAAACTTTTGCTCTGATATTCTCAGAGACATCCATAACTGCAATAGATGGGCAGTTAGCAGGAAGGGGCATGGTCGTTTGCTCTTCTTGAAAACTAGTAAATAGAGGTCTCTTTGTATCTAATCATTGAGTAGTATGAAACATAGAAGGGAGAGAAAAAAAACAGCAAATATTTGAGATTTTATTCTATAGATAAAATGGATTAAAACACAAATTTACATTTAAAAATTAAAACAAAGTGCTCTGCTTTTTTTTTTCTTTTTTCTTTTTTAAACTTCTAGGAATCCATCCCAGGACTAACAAGCAAGCACTCTGTCACCAAGCTCTCTGCTGCACTGCCAGCCCAAGAAAGCATAATCAGTAATTTTTTCTATTTTGTGGCAAAACTTACAGTGTCAATTTTTCTTATTTATAATTACAGCTACTTAGGGCATAATGGCACATGCTTTTAATCCCAGCACTTGGGAGGCAGAAGCATGTGGAGCTCTGTGAGTCTGAGGCCAGCTTGGTCTACAGAGAGACTTCCAGTACAGCGGGGCTACAGAGGAGGACTCTGTCTCAAAGGAAACAAAACAAAACAAAACAAAACAAAACAAAACAAAAACACAGCTTAGAGTTTTAATTTTTTAAGATTTATTTTATTTGTGTATATGTGTCTGGGCATGTGTATGCCTCATGTATAGGGATCCCAGTGGAGGCAGAAGAGGGCACTGGCTTCCAGAAGCTGGAGGTACTGGCAGTTATGAGCTACCTGACCTGGGAGCTGGGAGTCAAACTCAGGTCCCCTGAATGAGGAGCAAGTGTTCTCAACTGCTAAGCATTCTCTCCATCCTACCTTCTCTAAAGGTAAAAATTTAATGTAAAAAAAATAGTCAAATATAAAGTTCTAGAGATGGCATAATGCCAGGTCAATATTGATGTGACAATTTTGATTGATTTCTATAAATTATGCCATAAAGAGAAAAACTATGTCATAATATCTTCGTTTAAAACTCAGAGAGCAAAAAAGGGATTAGAGACAGCAACCATCCAAAGTGGTGGTATTTTTACTTAATGTATATATTATTAACAGTTTTGCCAAAAACACAGTTTGAATGTGAAAGGTTCATAAAACATAATACAGTATCACAGACTATATAAATTAATTATGCATTTTAATACCATCAACCTCATTAGAACATGGCAGTTAAAACTGGTGAACATTTAACTTCTTTTTACCAAAATGCAATCTCTTTTGTGGAAAGAAAAATAGCTAAATACTAGTGCATAAACTAGTGTAAAGTTTGTTGTTAAATATAAAATACTATTTAACTATCAAATTTGATTGCTAAATGAAACATCAATTGAACCTAGTTATAAAAGCAAATACCCCAACTAAACTTATTTTGAAAGTATCATTAATTTCTTAGTTAAAAATACAGTTAAATACCATGTTAAAAATAATCTATAAAAAGTGAACCCACTACTAACTTACTTAATTTTGTTAATTATTCACAACTTATTAACAGAGAGAGAGAGAGAGAGAGACAGAGACAGAGACAGACACACAGAGAGGCAGAGGACAACCTATTTTGTTGTTGCTCAGGTGCTGTTCACTTTTTTGTTTGTTTGTTTGTTTGTTTGTTTGTTTTTGAGTCAGAGCCTGTCACTGACCTGGGATACTTGGTCATGCTGGCTTGACAATGAGCCCTGGAGATGAGTCTGCCTCCACAAAGCTAGGATTATGGCTGTTTTTGTTTGTTCTCCTTTAGTTTTTGTTGTTTAGGGGATAGAACTCAAGTACTTCAAGCTCTTTCCTGACTGAACTATCTCCTCAGATCCCAATTACTCATAATTTATAATAAAAAATCTTTGGCATCTTGTTGGAAGAATCTCATAAAATGGGGTAAATCACATTCCTATATTCTTTAAAAGTACTGAGATAGACATCTAGTTGTTTCTACCAAAGCTTACGAACACACTTACCAACGATCATGCCATTTTTATCACGTTTTACTCCTAGTTCTTTTTCTTCCTTTCTCCACAGTTTAATTAAAAGACTAGCAGCAGTCAGGCCTTTCTTCCCTCTCCAAGCATTGATGTGAGCAGAAGTTTTGGGATTATCACAAAATTCAACCATTATTCCAAGTATCAGATTACAGAATTTTTTTTGGTCCAACTTTGCAAGGAAATAGAAAATGACAAAAATGGTAATGAATACTAAAAATAAGCATCTTACTAAAGAGTCACTTGAATTACCAGCCAGGTCTTTCTGAGCAGTCTGATTGTGACAATGTCCAGTAAGTCATTCCAGGAGTATCGATATGGCCATAGATTTAGAACTATCCGTTGAAGTCCAGTATACTCAAGATTGAGTCCACAACTAAAGATGGTTACTCCCCTGCTGTGGTGGTTTGAGTAGGAGTGGCCCCCACAGACTCCTGTGTTTGAATGCTTGGCCCATAGGGAGTGGCACTATTAGGAGCTGTGGCCTTGATGGAGGAAGTGTGCCACTTTGAAGGTGGTCTTTGAGGTCATATATGATCAAGTTCTGGGTTAAAACTAATAGGTAACCAAACAAACTAAAAGACACAAATATGGGAAAGAGATTTATAGGGAGGAGGGAAGGATGACAGGATAGAGAGGAGGTAAGCTATGGTAAGGGATGAGAGTAAAGAGGTCGTATCATATGCATACATAAAATTGTCAAAGAACAAACCTAATTAATAAAAATATCCCATCTACAAGAGTGAATTCCACAAAGTCAATTTTTAATGTAAAGTATTCTTTGTTGATAACTACTCTGGCACATAAAACATGTAAACTTTTGTTTGAATTGCAACTGTGGTCAGTTTATGTGATGGCTTGTCTTGGTTGTCCACTTGACTACATCTGGAATTAACTAAAACCCAAATTATTGGATACACTTGTGAAGGTTTTTTCTCTTAATTAAATATTTTGAAGTGGGAAGATCCATTCCTAATCTGGTTCTCTGAGGTGGGAAGACACACCTTTAATCCAGATCTTTTGAGGTGGGAAGATCCATCTTTAATCTGGGCCACATCTTCTGCTGGCAGCCTATATAAAGGACATGGAAAAAGGAAACTTGTTCTCTTTGCCTGGTGACTTTTGCTAACAAGTCCATTCCTTCACTGGCATTGAGCCCACTTTTTCAGGATTCTGGCATATACTGAAGACCAGCTGAGACATGGAGAGGAAAAATTACTAGATTCTGAGACCTTCTACTGGTAGGCAGCCATTGTTGGACTAGTGGACCAGCCTGCAAGCCATTCTAATAAATCACCTTATCTGTATGTGTATCTGTACCTATACCTACACCTCTAGATAAATAGATTTTTTTTTTTAATTCCTGTTCTTCGCTTTCAGGAGAAAGAAGCAAATGTTAATGTTCAAAACTGATACAACAACATTCTTACATTTATTGACTAGAAGAACATCTGCTTACCTATGTTTTTGAACACTGATCCAAGTAAAGGGATTCCTTAACTAGAGACATGTTCAGAACCCTTAATATGCTAGTGTTTTGTGAATACCTGGGAGGGATTTTATTTAACACAACGTATATAGCTGGGCAAGGGGCACATACCTTTAATCCCAGCACACAGGAGGGAGAGGCAGGAGCATCTCTGTGAGTTCCAGGCCAGCTGATCTACACAGTGAGTTCTAGGACAGTCAGTACTACGCAGAGAGACCATGCCCCTGTCTTCCCCACAACCCAAACAAATCCAAAGCAACTAAAGAAACGAACCCCCTCACTATATCTGAACATGATTTGTGTCATGTTTATTCACAAAATATTGTTTTCTGGTACTTGGTTTGGAAAGAGTTAGTATGAAATATTTATTTTTTATGTTGGAATACTGTGGGTATTACTTACTGCCAATATATCCAAAAGGAGAAAAATCCCTTCCTTTTCGAGAAAATAATCCTCAGAACTATACCATCCCAAAATGCAGCACCTTCAATAGAAAGAAAGGCAGTCATTCAACAAACATCTATTGTTAGCTTTAACCTGTAGCCCCTTCTTCCTAGGATAGCATTTACTTTATTCTGGAAGCCAGTGCTCTCTTCTGCCTCCACTGGGATCCCATACATGAGGCATATACACACAGCTTGCTTTATTTTTTTCCCCAGCTTAGAACTACCTTTATACCCAAAACAATAAATATTCTTTTCCATATAACATATTATTTTGTTTCTTTGGAGAACTCCAACAACATTTAATGCATCTAATTTATCATCAAACGCTAAGAGGAAAAAGGAACAAGGAGAAATAATTACTGTCCCAAAGTCCAGATATATTTAAAAGTCATCATCATTAAAATTATTAAAACAACACAAAACTATGGAATGGTTAGATGAATGTCAATGGAACAGAGCCGCGTGCCTCAGAGAGCCAAAAAGAAGCATCACACAGCATGAGTAATGGGGATACTCATGCTTCCTAGATGATACCAAAGTGGACTGAGATTAAATCCCAACCAGCCATTAAGTTTTGAAATGAGTAGCTTTCTTACTTGAGGGATGGGTTTAGTTACTTCTCAAATTTACATTCAGCCCTCTCACAGAGAAGGCACTGACATACCCTTCTAGGGTGATTTTGATGGAAGAAAATGGTCGCTTGTAAACTTAAGTTTCTTATACTGAGATACTCACTTGCTCACGGTAATACTTACCAAATGCAGTCTAATGTACTGAAGAGAAGGACATTGTAGCCTAAGCCACTCTGTAACTTCTTGTGGTCTGTTTTCATTACATGAAGAATGATGTCAACTCCTTCAGCTCCAAACATTTCCTGTTGAAGAGGATTGAAGAGAATCATTTCTTGGAATAAATATATAATTGTTCTCTTCTCTACCCATCCTATCCCTTAAAACTATCTTTCTACCAGAAAAATTATACTAGCTATGGTTTAATTGTTTCCAAACAGGTTTGCTAGTTTCCAAACTGGGAATTTTAATACAATTTAAAATTGTACTCATTTGAAGCTAGAGGGGTGGCTCAGCAGTTCAGAGCACTTGTTGCTCTTCCAGAGGTTATGGGTTCACCTTTGCAGAACCGACTTGGCAGCTCACAATCATCCATAACTCCAGTTTCAGGGAATCGCATACCTTCTGATATCTAACGACACCAAGCACACATGTGGTGAATACACATACAGGCAGATGAAACATTCATACACATAAATAAACAAATCTAAAAAGCAGTTGTACTCATGTATTCTTAGTTCTTTATGGTACATTATTTTAATGCGAATCACTTTAAGATGAACGTGCTAACAGTGTTCTTAGTATTTTTTTCTCTCTGTCTGAAAATGGAAACCATACAAGACTTGTCCATGGTTTCTTCCATGTTAGAGTGCATGTAATCCAGTCATGTCAAATGAATAGCACACATCAACATGGATCATGGAAGATGTTATAATGTTTTCAAGAGAGGAGGACATAGATAAACAACCATTAAACCTTTAATCATTTATATAAAATTATTACCAGGCAATATTTTCCCCTGGCCAATTATTTTTCATACTGTCATGTTGCTCTGTTCTAGTTCCCACTTACATCATAATAATTATTCTACATGAGCAGGCACAAGACAGAAAAGGATAGTATGTTATATTTCAGTGCTTGGAACTAAACATATTTTTTTCTTCCTCTTGTCTCTCCTTAAAAATCTATTTGGGGCTGGAGAGATGGCTCAGAGGTTAAGAGCACTAGCTGCTTTTCCAGAGGTCCTGAGTTCAGTTCCCAGCAACCACATGTTGGCTCATAACAATCTATAATGAGGTCTGGTGCCCTCTTCTGGTGTGATGGCACACATGCAGGCAGAATGCTGTATAAATAATAAATAATTAAAAAAATCTATTTATGGTATTAGAAAGACAGATCAGTAATTAAGAGCATTTATTTTCTTTCAGAGGACCTAGGTTTGATTACCAACACCCACATAAAAATTTACAAGTATCCCTAACTCCAAAGGATCCAATGTCCTCTTCTGACACTGAGTATCAGGCACGCATATGGTGCACAGACATGCCTGTGAGCAAAGCACTCATATACATAAAATACACAAATCTAAAAAAAATTTAAACCTGTCTAAATTTTACTAATTTTTATTTTTCCAATTCTATCTCCTCTTACCTAAATTATTATCTTATGATACTCAGTAGTTTACTACAGAGCTAATAAGTATCAAAGAGACTTAAAGTATTGTTTTAAATTTCTAGCTTTAGATGTAAAGGCAAATCAAACTCCAAGCAATAGTTCAGACAGTACAGTCTCCTATGTATAGCTGTTTGGCTACTGTAGGTCTTGTGATTCTACGCCTGGGTTTTCAGTGAGAAGAAATGAAAGCATTACATCCCCACACATGCTCACTGAAGCTTTAGTTTTAAGCAGTCCGAATACAAACAGCCTAAGTGCCTGTCAATGAGGTACCAGAGAAACAGATTTTGATGGTTCACAGATTACCACTGAGTGATGAAAAGGAATAATACAAGCAACAGTATGAATATATTTCAGAAATACATACTGTTTCTTTCTGGATAACAAAAACATACACAGAAGGGCAAATACTGTGTGATTTTACTCACAAAAAGACTTGGTAAAACTAATCTATAGGTGGGTAGGGGTGTGGCTGCAGAGCCGACAAGTAAATGTCAGACCTATATGAGATTGTGGTGTATATTAAATGTGTCAAGGGGCATATTGCTGAAATGCGTTATACACATTCAAAAAAACTATTTAAATATGTACTCAAGCCCTGTGCTTTTCACTCTATGTAATTATACTCTAACGATAAAAAGTATTACATTTTAATTAGGTCTTAAAATTGTATTCATTGTGTATGTGTGTGGGCTGTTATGTGTCATGATGCATGTTTGGAGGTCACAGACAAGTTTCTTCTTCTGTCATGTGGATTCCAGAAATGGGACTCAGGTTGTCAGGCTTAGTAGCAAGTAATTTTAACTGCTGATCCATCCCACCCCTATCCCCACCCAAATTCTACAAGATTAGAAAAAGGGAAAACATTTATGGACACTTAAAAGAACATATAAGGAGACTGGGAGGTCTGAGGTTTAGATTGTATATTACATACCTTCCTTTTAATAAAATTTTCACAAAGGCCTGACAGGATAAGTAAGATGTCAGACTGGATTTCTAAGATAATGGCCTCTTCCTTTTCATCAAGTCTGTTTATCATATTTTTAAAGATTCCTGGTATGAGAAAAATTAAAGAATGTAAACATTAGGGTTTTTTTTTTATTTGCTCTTAGGAAACCCTCTTTTAAGAAGATTTTTCACCTTCTAGCCTACAACTCCAGCAGAATAGCCCTGTTCTATCAGCAGCTATAACCACATTTAGAACTGCAGATAAGACCCCACCCCCAGATATCCAACTCAGAGCCTATCCAAAGTCTCAAAAGCACTTCTCACCTCCCCTTCATCTCCATATCCTGGCCCACAACTCCAGCAGAAGCCCAATGCAGAGGCCATGCCAGCCCAGAAGCCATGCTGCTACCTAGAACCTCAGAAACCTCCTTCTCTACCAGAGGCCGCACCAGTACCTGGAATCCAGAAGACACACCAGCTCCCACAATCTTAAAACCCCACACCAGAGGCTATGCAAGCCACCAAACCCCAGCACAGACTCCCTATTGGACCTGACGATTCACTTGTTACCAGAACCACAGGCCGCCCAGGCCAGAAGACCAGAAAGGAAATGGAAATAAAGGGGAAGAAAAGTTGACCCAACAAAGATAAACTCAGAAATTGGCCTATAAACTTATAATTATCCCCAACTCAGATGACTAGAGGCCATTTAAAGAATATAATCAACAAGAACCTGGGCCATATGGCACCACCAGAGCCCAGCTATCCTACTGTAAGAAACCCTGAATATTCCAGCACAAGTGAAGTTCAAGAAAATGACCTTAAAGCCAATTTTATGAAAATGATAGAGGCCCTGAAAAAGAAATTAAATGAATCCCTTAAAGAAATTGAGGAAAACACAAACAAACAATTGGAGGAAATAAATAAATCCCTTAAAGAAACCTAAAAGAGCCAAAACCAACAAGCAAACAAAAACAAAAAACTAACAAAGAAGCAAACAAACAAACAAACAAAAAAAAAAAAACAAAGTGAAGAAAATGAGTAAAATGCTCAAGACCTAAGAGAGGAAATAGAAGCAATAAATAAAATCCAAACTGAGGGAATCCTGGAGAAGGAAAACCTAGGGAAGAGCACAGGAACTACAGACACAAAAATCACCAACATAGTACAAGGATGGAAGAGAGAAACTCAACCATAGAAGACACAACAGAAAAAAATTGGTGCATTGCTCAAAGAAAATGTTAAATCTAAAAAATTCCTGACACAAAACATCCAGGACATTGGGGCCCTATGAAAAGACTAAACCTATGTATAATAGGAACAGAGGAGAGCAACCACAGCTCAAAGACCCAGTAAATATTTTTAACAAAATCATAAAAGAAAATTTTCCTAACCTAAAGAAGGACATGCCTATAAAGGTTCAACAAGCTTACAGAACACCAAAAATACTGAAACAGAAATACCACACAATAATGAAAACACAAAACATATAGAACAAATAAAAAATATTAAAAGCTGCAAGGGACAAAGGCCAAGTAACATTAAAAGGCAAGCCTATTGAATGTTACACCCGACTTCTCAATGAAGACTCTAAAAGCCAGAGTGACCTGGAAAGATGTCTTACAGACTCCAAGAGCCCACAGATGCCAGCCCAGACTACTGTACCCAACAAAGCTTTCAATCATCATAGATGGAAAAAAAAAAGATCTTTCATGATAAAGTCAAATTTATTCACAAATTCAGCCCGACAGAAGATACTAGAAGAAAAAATTTATCCTAAAGAGGCTAACTACAGCCATGAAAAAAATAATCTCATACCAACAGAACCAAAAGAATGGAAGTGAATGCATGTGTACACATGCACATGCGCGTGCGCGCGCGCGCACGCGCGCGCGCGCGCGCACACACACACACACACACACACACACACACAACCACTAACACCAACAAAGTGAAAGGAATTAACAATCATTAGTCATTAATATTGTTCAGTGTCAATAAACTCAATTCTCCAATAAAAAGACACAGGCTAACAGAATGGATGTAAAAACAGGATCCATCCTTTTTCTGCATGCAAGAAACACAGCCCAGTATCAAAGACAGACATTACCCCAGAGTAAAGAGTTGAAAGTCCACTGATAGGGGAGGTTCTCCTCTCCTTCTTTCTGATCTTAGACTATCAGTTCTCATCAGAAGTGGCTGCATTGTCATACTTGGGGAGGGGCATGCATGCAGAAAGGGGAGGAATCGTGGGATTGGGAGGGGAGGAGGGAGGGGCTTATGGGGGGGTACAAAATGAATAAAGTGTAAAATAATAATAATAATAATAATAATAATAATAATAATAATAATAGTTGAAAGAAGATTTTCCAAACAAATAGACCCAAGAAGCAAGCTGGTGTAGCCATTCTAATGTCTAACAAAATAGATTTTTTCAAGCAAAGTTAATCAAAAGAGATGGAGGTGTACACTTCATACTTAACAAAGGAAGAAACTCACAAAGATGTTGTCTCAATCCTGAACATCTATGCCCTGTAGGCAAGAGCATCCACATTTGTAAAAGAAACATCACTACAGCTTAAATCACGCATTGAACCTCACACATTAATAGTGGGAGAGTTCAATACCCCACTCTCACCAATGGACAAGGCATCCAAACAAAAACCAAACAGAGACATAATAGAGCTAACAGTTGGTATGAACAAGATGAAATTAACAGATATCTCCAGAATATTTCACCCAAATACAAAAAAATATATACTTTCTTCTTAGCACCTCATGGGACAGTATCCAAAATTGACCATACAGTCAGTCACAAAGCAAGCCTCAACAGATATAGGGAAATTGAAATAACCCTCTATATCTTATCAGACCAGCATCGATTAAAGCTGGACTTCAACAACAAGAACAGAGACAACAGAAAGTCTACAAACTCATGGAAACTGAACGAGTCTTTACTGAATGATAACTGGGTCAAGATAGAAACAAGAAAGAAACTAAAAACTTCCTAGAATTCAATAAAAATTAATGTACAACGTACCTAAACTTATGGGACACAAGGAAATTGGTGCTACCAGGAAAGTTCATAGCACTAAGTGCCCACATGAAGAAATTAGAGAGACTTCATACTAGCAATTTAACAGTACACCTGAAAGCACTAGAATAAAAAGAAACACACCAAAGAGACTCCTCTTCGGAAGGCAGGAAATAATCAAACTGATAGCTGAAATCAATAACATAGAAACAAAGAGAACAATACAAAGAATCAATGAAGCCAGAATAAAAAAAAAAAATGAAAACATCTTTAGTAAATAGTGCTGGTCTAACTGGACCTCTGCATGTAGAAGAATGTAAACAGATCCATACCTATCACCCTGCACAAAACTCAAGTCTACGGGGCTCTAAAACCTCAAAATAAAACCAGATACACTGAACCTGATAGAAGAGAAAGAGGGTAATAGCCTTGAACACACCGGCATAGGAGACAACTTCCTGACCAGAACACCAATAGCACAGGTACTAAGATCAACAATTAATAAATGAACCTCATGAAACTGCTTCTGTAAGGCAAAAGACACTGTCAACAGGGCAAAATGGCAGCCTGCAGAATGGGAAAAGATTTTTCACCAACTTCACATCTGACAGAGGGCTAATTTCCAAACTATATAAAGAACTCATGAAACTATAGGTCAGTTAAAAAATGGGGTACAGATTCAAACAGAGAATTCTTTAAGTGAGGAATCTCAAATGGTGAAGAAGCACTTAAAGAAATGTTCAATATCCTTAGCCATCAGGGAAATGCAAATCAAAATGACTTTGAGATTGCATCTTATACCCATCAGAACTCAAACAACAGCTCGTGCTAGCAAGAGTATGGAGCAAGAGAAATACTCCTCCATTGCTGGTGGGAGTGCAAACTTGTTCAACCACTTTGGAAACCAATATGGCAGTTTCTTGGAAAACTGGGAATTGACCTACCTCAAGACACAGCTAATCCACTCCAAGCATGCAACCAAAAGATTCTCCTTCTTACCACAAGGATACTTGTTCAGCTGTGTGGATAGCTTTATTCATAATAGCCAGAAATTGGAGAAAAGAAAACCCTACAGGTCCCTCAACCAAAGAATGGTTAAAGAAAATATACATTTACACATAAAGTATTATTCAGCTGTTAAAAAAAATAATAGTAACATCGTGAAATTTACAGCCAAATGTATAGAACTAGAAAAATATCATCCTGTGTGAGGTAACCCAGACCCAGAAAGATAAACATGGTATGTACTCACTTATAAGTGGATATTAAGTATAAAGTAAATGATATCCAAGCTACAATCCACAGACTCAGAGAGGCTAAATAACTAGAGAGATCAAGGGGGGAACACATGAATCTCGTTTGGAAGGGAAAACAGAATAGATAGTTCAGGCAGACTGCAGGTAGGTGGGAATGAAAATAGGAGAGATGGGGTCAAGGAGAATCAAATGAGAGAGTACTGGGAGAGACAACTGGCACTGGGGGCATCTTGTGACAAGCTAGAAACTTAGTGTAATGGAAACTACCAGGAATCCACGAGGCTGACCTTAGCTATGACTTCTAGTAATGAGGATAAGAGCCTGAATGGGCCATCTCCTTTACTTAGGGAAGATTTCCAGTGCAGGGACTGGGATACCAACCCATCCAGAAAACTTTTCATCTACAATTTGCCCAGCTTGCAAAATATGCTGGAGTAAGGGTGTGAAGGCCAGCTTGACAGATTATAGTAAACTTAGGTGGGTCATAAAGTCAGTGACTGGTCACTCAGCAAAATTTTCTCTGAGGAAATAAAACTTGTTTCACAGGGGCCAGTACTCCCTGTGGCTGGCTAAATACTCTTTTAATTTACTGTGGCCTTTCCTCTCTGTGGCCAGAAAACAGAAAAGAAAGAGGGAAAGACACACACACACACACACACGCACACACACGCACACACACACACACACACACACACACACACACACACACACACGTGTGTGTGCACGCCAAGCTCCAATAACTTCATATATACACATACATAGATACATACACACATAATATATACATATACATTTAGTGAAGAAGCAAAGCTCCA